TGCTTAAGTCGAACGTATAAATAAGGAACAGCAGCGGCCCCAATACAGAGCCCTGAGGTACGCCTGAGGGAATTATTGTCACTGGAGACATTTCTTGGTTGAGAAAAACACACTGAGTTCTTTGATGAAGGTGACTGTCAAAAAATTAAAGAGATACCCTGTCAAGACCTATGTAATTTAATTTAGCAAGTAATAATTTATGATTGATGCTGTCAAAGGCTTTAGAATAGTCTATAGAGGTTGATGACTGGAAATAAAAAATAATCTAAAATGTAATAACCTTTTCACATCAGTATTCCTGTATTATGTAGCCTGTATTTATGTATTCTCTCACCAGTTAGTTGCAATATACTTCACCAACCAGGGATTTTCTTCTTTATCTCTCTCATTTTTTAACTAAGGCAGACTTGTAGCACATAAATCCTCACTATGTTGATGTTAGATGACATTATAGCCAAACTTTGATAGCTGAAGCGTACAGCTACAGAATGAGTGCACATGAAGTGGACAACATCTAATTCTAAGATGACATCTTGTAGAAAAACCTACATATACAGGGTGACTTCGAAGTTGAGTCATTTATTTTAACAGTGAATAGATCTGATCAAAAGAAATGTTTTTTTCCTTTACCATTTTTCTGGTAAAATTAAAGTAACAAAGTTATAGCCCTTTGGAAGTTTGAGTACCGCCCTGTCTCAATATCATGTGCTCGTGTTTGGCAACAACGGATATAATCCGCCTTACCGGTTCATCGCATCGGAAACAAAAAAGCGAAGGAATTTGGAACGATGTTTGTGTACAGTTTATTATTTTATTCAGTTCAGTTATACATACAGTCACTGTCAGTGTCGCGTGTGAATAGGGTCTGTTGCGTGGCTCAAACGAAATAAAAAATGGCACATGTTTATGCGGATCGGTTTCCCAATCGAGTGCAACCAACCCCTCGTGCCTTTATTAATGTAGTACAACGGGCTCGTGAATCAGGTGACTTAAGACCTCACAGGGGACCTCACGATCAAATACAGGTCCGCACTGAAATACTTGTCGGGAGGATACTTTATAAAACAAGGTAAAAAATTTTTTTTATTTTTTTTTTATTTTTACACACATATTTTGGTTTATCTTCCTTCTACAATCATTATCTGAAAATTAATGACTCAACTTCAAAGTCACCCTGTATATTGAAAGAATAGTTGTATTTTCGGAAAATCATGGTCTACAGATTAATGCAAGCAAATCACAACTCATGTTATTTGGCAGATTGAAAGACAATATTGAGTCCACTCTTCATGTCAAAATAAAAAGTGAATCTATACCTTGTTCAGCCACTGGGAGAAATTTGGGAGTAGAATTTGGCTCAAATCTAAGATTTAAGCCTCATATTAATAAATGTATCCATAAAGCTTATGTTAAGTTCTATATGTTCATCGATTTCTCCTCCCTGGTGAACTTAAAATATTGATTTGTGAAGTACTAGTACTCAATAATTTTAATTTTTGTAACAGCGGTTATGGGTTTTGTTTAGACAAGATTGACATGGATAGAATCGAGCGTGTACAGAAGTCCTGCCTACGATTTATTTATGGTCTACGTAAGTTTGAAAGAGTTCCACATAAGTTGCTTGATGCAAACTGGTTGAATATGCGATGTCGATGTGAGTTGCATGCATGTAATCTTTTACACAAATTTTTGTTTTTTAAGCAACCACAATTCAATAGAATAACTTTTCGAACCGATGTTCATAACTTAAATTTGCGGTTTCGGGGCTACATATCATCTCCTCCTCATCAAACCTCTCATTTTTGTAGATCTTTTTCATACAACATTTATCGGCTTTATGATCAAATTCTTTATGACTTTTAAATTCTGCATCAAAACTACTTTAAAATCAAATATAAAAAAATTATTTATGAAAAACACTTCAGTGCACATTAATGTAAATGAGGCGCAAGCGACCAAACTAATGGAAATAAATTTTTTTGTACTATAACTCTCATCCATTTTCGAGGCTTTCTAAGGTAGATCTTTCTTTATATATATGTTTAATAGCTACAGGGCTGAACTTGTATCATTTTTAAATGCCTTCAGCCCTTTTTTGTAACATATCACATTTAAATGCATTTTGATATTAATTTTACCTAACTGTATATTGCAAATAAACATAACTATTATTATTATTATGTCACAAGAAACCTGTATGTCGAAAAAACTGACAGTCATTTTTCAAGATACTGTGCTGTCTTAATTCAATAAACCTCGTACTCTGAATAGAGTAGAGTTGTTCAGCTTTCGTTCGCTGTCCACATAGCTTACGCTATACTGAAGATTGCCCAATAGCACGAAACAGCTGTCGCTGGTTGGCCATCTGTGATTGCCTTAACGAAAGCTATACACCTATTACTGGTATGTGTGCTACGACTTCCTTTTTTTACAAAATACTAAAACCTTGACCACATGTAGGAGAAAGTTCAAGATAATCTCAGAATCACATGATTTATCGCACGACGAGTATAATTTAACACATTTTCACCGGTATCACAGTTTAATTTAGGTTTCAGGTACAGCAAGACCAAGTACTCATTCATAATTTCATGTCGACTCGTTTTTTATTTTGTATTCGCTATCTTGATTATGATCGAAACATGGCTTTATGTAGACTAGGTGACCGCACTATTTATAATTTACAGCATTTCATGCATCAAGTAATCCGTTTCTCTAATAATATACTTCGCTAAATGTTGGATAATGTTAACGCTGCAAAAGTAGAACCGCACGTAATTTATACAAAATGCAACTTTCGACTTGAGAAATATACATAGAAACTGTTCGAACATCATTCATTGTTTATTTTTCGAGTAACGGTTGCTTGGTTGCTAATCTGCAGTGGCGTGAACAAGACGACCACTGGAATCAGCATAAAAATCGTGTGAAGTGAAAAAGCGGCACCAAGTAGATTGAGTCAACAGGGTGGACCATCCATGTGTGGACGGAATATTACTCATAAACAAATACATTTTGGAAAAATCTTTTTATGGGATGTTATACATGACTTTTGAGGGCGCATTTCTAAAATACTGGCCATTATACAGGGTGTCCCAATTTCGACCTACATATCAAAGCTGTGATTTTTCAAATGGAATGTCTCAAATTTTATTGCATATTTGGATAAACCAATTCAGTAGAAGAAGATTGATATAACATACTATGGGGTTTTGGTGACTAGCTACTGAGATATAAGGTGTTTTGTCTAGAAAAACCGTCCACTTCGGCAACCCTTCAATCCGCCATTTTGAAATTTGGAGGTCTGATTTTTGTATCAAAAAGAGTTACACACCTCAGCTTTTATCTTATTTATTACTTTTTCGAATTTTCGTTTTTGCTCATACAGGGTGGTCAAAAACGCAAATTTTTCTCAAACATTTCAAATGCATCACCCTGTATATTTGTGCAAGTTTGGATTCAATCTTTTATAAGATTTTTTTGACTCTAAACACATGTTTTTACGGCTATTTCTTCGGTTATTAGCACGTCTTTTATGGAACGGCTTAATTCCCTAAAATATCGCATCATCCTTGGAAACAAATAAATTGTTGATTAGTTACAAACTGTTAAAATTAGCTTTGTGAGCATTATAATAAAAACGTGTTTGAAAATGAATTTTTCTAAAGAAGAAATGGGGAATAGGTGTTTGTTTTGGGCGAAGCAACGGTACCCTGATGTGCGACATCCAAGGCCGGAAACATTTTCCACACTACGAGAATGTTTTGAATCAAGTGGAGCAGTGGAATATAGTAAAAAAATGTATAAATAATCCAAGTGTCACCAATGAGGCGAATCAGTTGCAGGTATTAAAATTGCAGGAAAATGTCCAAACGATTATTCACAAGCACAGCGGCAACACTGCCAACCCGTTCAGTGCGCATGCGACTAGCGACTACTCTCCCACCAACAGCAACGGTGTGCGCTTCTTCCTGTTGGAACAGGTATAGTCTAGTCGTTTATGGTCTAGTCTAGTGTCTAAATTCTCTACCAGTCCACACAACCGGAGTTTTGTTGATCTGGCTGGTAATAACGCTATTTTCTATGTTCTATTGATTGTTTATTTTCCACGTATAAGCAAGAAAATTATGTTTTGATTGTTTTTAGATTTTATACTATAAAAGAAACGTGTCTAAAAAAATGACAGACGGAAAAATGGAAATTTAGTATAATTTCAATTACGAAGTGTTTGGTCCATACTCCAGCTATATCATTATCATCTCTGTCTATTTTGCCTCGGAAGTCCCTGTATATGAGCACTTCAGTACATTTCGTTTGACCGCAAATTATAATATAAGTATATATATATATTGATATATTGAAAATATAAGAAATCTTGTTTTCCAAACAGAAAAGGTTCTTAATGCCTAAAAATTGTATGTATTTTCTACAGAAATCACTGTAACAAATTCATTTGTCTGCATATTTCCATGCTTTTAATGTTAAATCATTATAACACTGCAGTACGTCACACTGAGAATTTACTTTCCATTTTACCCCTCCCAGACTGACATCCTGGGAGCGCCACTGCTGAATGCACTCGCGTAGTATGAGCAACAGCTTGACACTCACCGGAATTTAACATCAAATCAAAGTCATATCGACGAAGTTCGTTGTTGCCTTAGGAATATGCCATTTTCGATTTTTCAACCCTTATTTATAAACAAACAGCTCAATTTACCTATTCGGCGCGTGGCGCTTGTGTTGGATATTGACGGAAGTCGCATATTTTTATCTAATCTTTTGCCGAAGTCACGGCCGGATTTGATACCGTAAAGCCATTAGATCAGTTAGGAGTCTTTTTTATATTTGAACCACCACGGAGGCCAGAGTTCTAAACACCCATGAAGACATTCTAATACCGGCCTTAGAGATCCGCCAAGTGGTACCTCCACGTTCGACAGTCAGAGACCGTCTACCAAATACGGACAATCACAACATCCATAGCCAAGAGAAAAAATCACTTGGGACGGGATTCGAACCCGCGCAGCGCTCGGCCACTGATTAGGAAACCCATAACGTCTACCACTACGCCACCGCTGCTGCCTGACATATAGTGCTTTTCAAAAAGAGCGACTCAATGTAGGTATAGTGATTTTAACGGAATAAGACAGCTGGTGTACTATGAAATGTTCGTTGTTTGTAACCCTGTGTAAGGGAAATTACGAACTTCAACATGTCTACATTTCGTAGTATACACGTACTCTTCAGGATTTGTAATTTCATTTCAGAAATAATGGGTGATTTTTTAAGAGGTATAGGATTTGATTTAAAAAAAAACACAAAAAATTTGAAAAAACGATTAAATCTTTATTTGAGTCGATAGACCGGTCGATATAATTTGATGTTAAAAGATTATTTCATGTAAATTGGCCGCGGCTCCGCTTTAGATGGCCCATGCGCAAGGTCCAATTTTGGCACACTCTCTCCAACATATCGGCCGGTATCTCACGAATAAATGCTTCAATATTGGCTTCCAGTGCGTCAATCGTTGCTGGTTTATCCCTGTAGACATTAGCCTTAACATGGCCCCACAAGAAATAGTCCAACGGCGTTAAATCACACGATCTAGGCGGCCAATTGACGGGCCTCAAACGTGAGATAAACTGTTACCGAACTCGCCTCTCAATAGGGCCATTGTTTCGTGTGCGGTGTGGCATGTGGCACCGTCTTGTTGAAACCACATGTCATCCAAGTCCAGCTCTTCCATTTTGGGCAAAAAAAAGTTTGTTATCATCGCACGGTAGCCCACGCCATTCACAGTTACGTTCCGGCCATTGTCGTCTTTGAAGAAGTACGGCCCGATGATGCCACCGGCCCATAATCCAACAGTGATTTTCGGGATGAATTGGTACCTCTTACAATGCTTCTGGCTGGTCTTCACTACAGATGCGGCAATTATGCTTGTTAACGTACCCATTCAACCAGAAATGAGCTTCGTCGCTGAACACAATTTTTCGATAAAAATGTGGATCTTCCTCCAACTTTGCCAGCGCCCATTCACCAAATTGGAAACGTTGTGTGAGGTCGTGTGGCTTCAATTCTTGCACCAGCTGTATCTTATAAGGTTTTACACCCAAATCCTGTCGCAAAATTTTCCACGTAGTGGAGTAACAGAGGCCCAATTGCTGCGAACGGCGGCGAATCGACATTTCACGGTCATCACTAACACTGGCGGATACAGCCGCAATATTTTCGTCAGTCCTCACTCTACGTCTGCGTGTTGGTGGTTTAATGTCCAATAATGTAAACTGGGTTCGAACTTTAGTCACAAGCTTCCGAATAGCTCCCTCAGTAGGCCGACCAAATTGCCCATAAATTGGAAGCAGTGCTCGATGCACTCTCTTAACCGAGCATAAATTTTGATAGTGAAATTCAATAATTTGAAAGCGTTGTTCGTTCGTAAGTCGATTCATGGTTAAATTATAGGCCAAACTGAACAAGTTTGACAATGACACAAGACACGATTCACGCGTCATCTGTCAAAAGCAGTGTTGCCAAAAAGATACTAGCAAAAAAATCACCCATTATTATATGAAGCTAGTTTTAGCACAAACCCTAGCTTTCAAAGCATGCTAATAAGCCGTCTAAATTGATGTTCCGCCACTGAATCTATCGTTTTTTTCTCACAATTTAACTCTTCTTAGAATTCAATTAGTAAAAGTAGGCGATATTGTGGTAACGAAATATTACATAAACTAACCATCACATCTCACAGTTGATTTGCATGTTGGCTTTGGCTTTAACGTTGCCTCAAGTTGATCCATGCATAAAATAATTATTCTTTAAAAGTATCCAGGTTTCAACAGCGAGTAACTATTGTGGCCGACAATTTTTTATGTTTTAGTATTCATCATTGTTCGTTATAGATTAAAGAAATTGTTTGCTGATAATCTTATGACATTTTGAAGGGATCTGTTCAAGTGATGTCTGAATAAAAAATAAGAATTGTGAAGTAAAATTCTTTTGTGCAATTTTCACTGTTTTACACGAAATATTTATCGCTAATTTTTAAACTAGTAGGATCAGCGAAGTGGACTGGGATCCACGAGAGTGCGGGCTTGCTATATGAACCTGTTAAACGTCTTGATTGATTTAGGGTGGATTTCACAATTTAACAAACCATTATTCTGCACCAATAGGGTACAAGTACCAAACAGTCCGTTAAATATACCCAATCAGCCTCAAGATCTCTCCGTCAAATTTTTGGCAGCAAATAGCATCAAAGTATTCAAAACAAAACACTGTAAAATATGAAGTGACAGCTTGCCATTGAAATCTTTTCAGTTTATTAAATATTATGAAATTATGTAAAACTGAGGCAAAATTTTTAAAAATGCTTGATGTCTGAGTAAAATCTATTTTTTTCAGATTAGCTGAAGGTTTATCCATGTTTACTGCAACTTTTGTAATCCATATGTGATTATATCACCTAATGTGTGCTTATAGTTTATCCTATATTTGCAAACTTTTAAACAATTAATTAACTACCTGTTCTTTTTTGCAGATCGCATACTTATGTATTGTATATGTAATGTTGACAAGTCTTATGTCATAGCTATTTATGACCAAAAGACAATAAAGACTATCTATCTATCTATCTTGCACTTCCAAACCCTTACATGAAAAAGCCTTTTCACTCAAATTTTTGTGTGTTGCATTTCAACACATTCATACACTTCTTTCCAGTTCCTCAACGATATTTTAACCCCACTGGTCCGAAACTGTTCAACAGTTTTAACATTCATACATACAATTGCAGTTGCAGTTCTTTGTTTTAATTTCAGTATATAATCAGTTGCACGATCGGTGGTACATTCAACATAACCACGTATTTAGGGGTTCGTGCAGATTTAACGTGTACACGACGTCATCATTAGGCGCTCCTCTGGTGATGTCCGATTGCGTTCAGGTGCCTTCTGCAGGTACCTCTTCACCACGGTCAGGAGTTGATACCAGCGCGGCTCTCGTTTTTTTTTGCTCTAGGCATGGCCATCCTCAATTAATCGCACAAAAAACAAGTCCAAGGCAGAAAAACACACCCGAAGACGAACACCAAAACAAATCTCTACCGCAAATTCGTCAACAACTCAAACAAAAACAACAGATGATTCACCGCTTGACTTTGACCGTAAATCATCGTGGAACACGAGACACCACAGAATTGTTATAATTACGTCAATACGAGCATAGAACGGTATAGAAAGAGCTATCCAAGGGTAAGACGAGATCCGAAACCACCCGAATCATGTCAAAAAATGGCTGTGACGTCACCAAAACTTTGACCACCACTGGAAATCACTAGCTACTTACCATCTGGCGGCGTAACACGTGGAGGACACTGGTGTAGAAACAGCTGATCCTTAAATTCGGTTACGTTAAGTTGTGCATGAGCCCGACATTATTGTTCAGTAATTACTATTAATTTTAGGTCTATGTCTACAGTAATTGCATTATGCACCTCGGAGATGTAGGGATTAACATGTTTTACACATATCGATGTTTTAGGATGGGGACGACATATTGTTTTGATTGCTTTGAAGATATTCATTAACCCATGAATTTATAACAAATGATTACTACTATGATGTAAAGAGAGATGAGGAATTGGTTGGAATACATTTTATATTCTATTTTCTTGCAAATCCGCACAATTCAACATGTATGTGTAGCTATAATGATCTCATAATATACACACAGTATATTGAACTTAACAAATTTCGAGATTGCCATGAATTAACAAACGACCAAACCTGCTGCCAAATTTAACAGCTAGAAAATCGACCTATTATTTCTCCCATTGCCATTCGCTGAAGGGATAACGGATGGTCAAATGTACACCTATAACATAAATCAAAATACATGAAAGTTGTCCTGCTTTCTCTGTACAGAAGCATCATGTTGGAATCAAAAAGTGGTCTTGTTTATAATACAGTCGAATTTTCACGATTTTATTCAACATTTTAATAGAAATCACTGATATTCTGAGACCTTTGACAGCTTCCGTCAAATTGCATTTCGATAAGGTATTTTCCTATTGGTCCATAATAATAATGTTGGTGAAATCGGCCCTAAACTTCTTAATCCAAGGTCTCAAACTTCTTTGTAGTAGCATTGATTGACGTACACTACCTAAATATAGCCAACCTAATACTATACCGCGTCTAAAAAATTATTATTTGGGATGAAATAACACGCTGTAACGTTTTCTATGAAAATGACGAGAAACATACTGCCGTTATAAGCCAGAAGAGAGTATCTGCCAAATCACATTTTATAGGAGCGATGAGAACGTGTTGTAATCATTTTCTTACGAGGGATGTCTTTTAAGTTTTGCATATAGAAACATAGTAGGCCGCGCGGATCGAACGTCAGTACTGAATCTTAACCTCACTCTTTAGTAAACTTAAATTCAAAGTTTCACAACAATACGTGCAGTGTTCTCACTACAGTGAATTTTTAAGTGTCACCAAGTCAGAAAAATGGAACTCAACCGAGAACATTTTCGCGCCATAATTTATCACAACTTTCAGAAACAATTATCGCAACAAGAATGCCTTGCTGAGTTACTGTCTGTTTTCGGCAACGAAGCGCCACATCAGTCGACAATTTCCCGTTGGTATGGAGAACTCAAACGTGGACCGGTGAGTTTTAGCGACGATTCCATGGTGGGTGCACCAAAAACGGCAGTCACCCAGGGGAACGTCGATGCTGTGCGCAAACTCATCATTGAAGATAGACATGTGACATATCGCGAGATTGAGGCGTCCTTGAAGATTTCAAACACCTCAATTCAAAAAATTTTACATGAACAATTAGGAGTAAGAAAATTAGTTTCTCGTTGGATACCCCACCTGTTGACTGAAGAGCAGAAAGCAGTCAGGGTTAATTGATGTCAAAAAACACTTGACCGTTTCAATTCCGAAACCTCAAAAAATGTGTACAGCATTGTTAGTGGTGATGAATCGTGGATTTACTGTTATGAACCAGAAAATAAACGTCAGTCGGCTGTTTGGGTGTTCCAAGGTGAAGAAAAGCCAACAAAAGTAATCCGTTCTCGAAGTGTTTCGAAAAAGATGGTCGCGACATGTGTCAAAAGCGGACCATATTGCAACAATTCCTCTTAATGAGCAAAGAACTGATACTGTGTTTGCCAAAAGTCATTACCGAGCTTCGAAAAATCAACCCCGAAAGAAGAATCATCCTCCACCAAGACAATGCAAGCTCGCACACAGCCCAAAAAACAAGGCAGCATTTAACGGAAGAAAACGTGGAATTATTGGACCATCCTCGATATAGTCCCGATCTAAGTCCTAACGATTTCCTTACTTTCCCGAAAATTAAAAACAGACTGCGTGGTCAAAGGTTCCAGTCACCAGAAGAAGCAGTTGACGCATTCAAAAATGCCGTTTTGGATCTGCCAGCAAACGAGTGGAATAAGTGCTTCGAAAATTGGTTCGAGCGCATGCAGATGTGTATTAATCTTCGTAGAGAATACTTCGAAAAACAATAAAGTCATTTAAAACTACCTACCATATGCAGAACTTAAAAGACATCCCTCGTAAAGGTTGAGCATTGGGTAAATGTATAATACCCCTTCTAGCCCATCACCTGATGAACAGTTTTGAAACACGCCTCCATCAGATATTCTACCATTGCATCCAACGTACGAAAATTTGTACTTTGCATCGGCGACGGCTAATAAAACAATACTGTATGTTCCCTTATAGTTGTAATCAAAACTTCCGCTTTTTCTTGGAGCTTGCATAACAATATGTTTGCCATCTAAAGTACCTAGGCAATGGGGGAAGTTCCATCTTGGCAATATGTGGTCCGATTAATGCTATGATAAACTGAACTTTAACCGTATTTATTCAAACAAAGTTTCGAAATTGCTGGGCGTCTTCAATCTTCATTTCTTGAGTTAGTGTAGAACAGAGTTACCCAAACTTTTTTATGCCGTAGACCCCTTGCCATGTTTTTCCGTGTTGGGTAGACCCCCTACTTACCTGATATTGATTTCCTGTAAATTTCTAACTGTAGTGAAGTTTAGTGTTAAAAACTTAAAGTAAAATCACATGTTAATTTATACATTTATTAATTGAATTTAAATTAAAACTACTCAAAATAAAATTTTGTATCTGTTATGTAAAATATGCGTAACATTAAATAAACAGGTGTCTGACCAATAAGTGCCCGCATTGGGAATAAGTGCCCGTATTGAAAAAAATAAGAGGGATAAAATAAAAAAAAGTGAAAAATAATAAAAAAAAAGTTTTTTACTTAAAATAGTACAATAAGCGAGTTCGTTTATTAATTGTAACATAAACGTATGTTCTACAATAATTTCACTGTTAATTTGATTAAATTCCGCTTCTTATACGTTTAAGTTATCTAAAAATAGGAAAAAAATTAACGAATTTTAGTGTGCACCTATCATTGAATTTTCAGAATAATTTAAAAAAAGTATTTTCTATAAAGTTCTTTAAAAAAAACAATGCGGGCACTTATTCCCAATGCGAGCATTTATTGGTCAGACACCAATAAACATAAAATAAACTATAAATAAAATAACATAAGCAATCAGTCAATATTTTTAGTGAGAAGGATTAACCTGATGCTTTAATAATAAATTATCAACATTTGGCGTCAATTTTGTAAGGGTTAATCTTAAATCTCCTCGGCTAATGATGTCCAGTCTGTTTCTTTTTTCGTTAGGAGATTGGTAACAGAGCTGAACCCCCTTTCCACTAGGTATGACGATGGAAAGGAAATTAAAAATTTCCTCGCTATATTCCATAATACGGGATAAGTATGTTGTTTTGCAGCCAGAATTGCTCTTATCCGTTTTTAAACTGAACCTTAAGTTCTTCGTTTGTACTTAGTTCAGTCAGTTCCTCTTGTATTATGACATTCGTTTCTTCTATGTCACCATATGGATTAATTATCCACGGTGGTATTACCATAGTCAAAATATCCTCAAACCTAGATTCAAAATCTGAATAGAAGGCATTTAAATGTTGAACGTAAGTTGAAACGTCGTCTTCCTGGCAGCTTGTCTGTGACAAATTGGGGAACTGAGGAAATTCGCCCCGTTCAATATTTTGCTTCATTAGTTTAACTATGGCAAGAAATGCTGATAAGATGGACTTTGTTTTAATCAAATTTAAACTGTCGCCTTGTAATTGCAAATTAACCATATTAAATTTTGTAAACAAATCTGTTAAATAGGCTATGTCTGTTTTCCTCCTCATTAAATTTTCTTTTAAAATTTTATCTTTAGTAACCAGAAATTCTAAAATAGTCTCAAAAAGTGCAAAAAATCTTGTCAAACATAAGCCTTTCGACAGCCAGCGTACTTCAGTGTGAAGGAGTAATTGATGAAAGTGTTCGTCATTTTCTTCACTATACTGCGCAAATAACCGCGTATTCAATGCGTTGCTTCGGATTCGGTTTACTGCATCAATGACTAAATGAAGTGATTCATGCAATGTAACACTCAAATTTTTAGCAACTAAATGTTGTCGATGGATGACGCAATGTATTGCTAACACCCCTGACACATTTTGTTTTAAATAGCTTATAAATCCACGATAACGTCCAACCATGGCAGGTGCTCCATCTGTAGCTACTGATATTATATTTGATAAAGGAATTGCTTTTTCAATGAAGTAATCCTCCAAAACATGAAATATTGATTCACCTTTAGTGTCGGTTATCAAAGTTCTCGCGAAGAGCAGTTCTTCGTAGATTTCTTGATTCATAATAAAACGAACATATGCCAATAATAATGCTGCATTATCAGGTAAAGTTGACTTGTATAGAGAAATGGGTCGTTTGCAAATAATTACATAAGAAGCTTCCAATATCAGAACTCATTTCATCAATACGTCTTTCAACAGTATTGTTGCTTAAGGGAATTCTTTTAATGATATCAGATGCAGGTTTGTGTAAAACAGTTTTTAAAACCTCTTCAACGGCTGGCAAAATTAACTTCTCTCCGATAGTATGCGGTTTTCCGGATTTTGCTATAAGTAACGAGATATTGTAAGACGCCCGCAAACCATCATCATTTCTTTGTGACGTCGAAGCGAACATTCTGTCCAGTGTAGGTCTCTTCTGAAATTTATCTTTGAGTGTTTGAAAGTATTTCAAATCTTTCTCTGTTTTATCAGGGTGGCATCTTCTCAGATGATCTTGCAGTTTAGATGGTTTCATAGCGTCATTGCCCAAAACTTTGTTGCTTAAAAGGCACATAGGCGATTGTTTGTCCGGCAATGATGGAATGAAGCCAAATTTCAAATAATCAACACTGTACTGTCTACATTTCTTTTTAGATTCGGACATGGCATCAGTCAACTGTTTTAAATTATTTAAATAAGACAGAAAATCCAGCAGCTGTATATTAAAAATATTTTTTGATTTTTCCGAAAACATTCCATAATTCGAACATCTTCTTGCAACAATTAGCTCGAATTACGGAGATTGCACTGTAATTATATTACCGATTGCTAAAACTTTCAAAAAGAAACTATTGAGGAGTACTCGTGTAATTTTGCATGATTGAATATTTAACTACTAATAACTAAAGTCATGATTGGCGTAATTTATCTACCATTGCTAACTACGAGTATAAAACTAAAATTTAATAAAAAATAATGTACTTACTTTTCTCCAGCACTCTGACTCACTATAATTTGTGTGATATACTATCTGTTTATATTTTTTAAAATATTTTCTTAGCACTTTCCTTTTCAAGATTCAGGAAACGAATAAACGTATTTGTCCCACATTCGTATTTATAGAGTGACGAATTGAACAAGTCAGTGCAAGGTAGCGGAGCTCTGAGTTTACGACTCTCAGGTTTTTACAAGTTCAAAATGTATTGCGACCACAAAGCGAATACCAACATAATACAACTTACACAATTTTATAAACATATATAATACATTTTTTACTTCATAGGTACTTTTATAAATAATGTATATGTTTTGATATTATAAGATAGTATGATGTAAGTAAATAGGTACTATCAGTGTATGTGTTGAGATCCACTATCGTGGACCCCCATATTCATTTCATGGACCCCCAAATTTTTTTTCGCTGACGTAGACCCCTTGCAGGTTGTCATAGACCCCTAGGGGTCGATATAGACCACTTTGGGAATCAATCGTGTAGAACATGCTCCTAATTCGGACCTTCGTTGAATCCACGACTTAATCCAACAACTTCTTTTCCTTTGCTGCCTCTTTTTTCTTTTCAGTGAAGTATACGCAATAATAAGGGACGCATCTTTTGTTTATCCATGATTGAGGTCATTTTAAACCGAATTAATTCACTATTATTGCAATTCACTACAATGACAGCTCACAATAAACCACTATCTCAAATGGATACAGTTATATCGGATAGTACGTTTCTGGCGGGTATCGATTTTCTAATTGAGAGTTTAAATAACTGAAATTGCTCTCAAGTGGATACGCCAATAAAAGTAAATGTCGCGAGAACTCGCGACAGTTACTCTCAAATGGACATTACCTTTACGATGGCTATCTTCGAGTAGAATACTTAAGACAACGATAATAGTTACTTTGTTTCAGTATCTAGTGCTAGCTGTTACGACTGCCTAAATATGGCAATAAATTCAAGAATGTTTCAAATCCGTAAACTGTATCCATAGTAACGTATGTATAGTTTATCTGAAGTCACTTGAAACACTGTGAAATACCGGGTGCGTTTTATATATCTATATTTAACACGCTCTGTTGCTGCGAAAATCGCCAAATTTCGCAGCAAATATCCCCCGTATAGGATCAAAGGCAGTTTCACCGGTCCACGTGGAGTAAAGCACGCCTATGCGTGGACATAGCCAATGAGAAAGCGTGTATTTCAGAGCTCCGAACAAGTGCAGGTGGCTACTGAAAATTGAAACAGTTTAGCCAGTGCCGTGTAGCGGTGAATAAACGTGTTTTCTTTAGTCTGACCGTGTTTTTTCATAGATTTTATTAGTTTGTGTGTTTTTGACTTTTGAATACTCAGTTTACTTGTTGATTTATTTGTTGTGTTGATTTTTCTTGTGTGTCCTAAATATGGCTCTTTGGAGACCTTGGGAAAATGCTCCAAGCCACGAGGAGATGGTTGATGAACCTGTGCAGGCAGAATTCTTTCATAAAGATTTAGAGGAACAGACCCAAAGAGTAATCCTAAATATGTATGATTGTTTGAAAAACGAAAATTCAGATTCCTCGCAAAATCAAATTTTAAACAGAATTTGTATCCTGACAAAAATCAGTCGGTCTACCATTTATCGGGTTATAAAAAGGGGAGATGTAGTCAACCATTCCTTCCACAGAAAGCGCATAGGGCAAAAATTAAAAAGAATAGACGTGGGTTTTCAGGAAGATATTCGTCGTATAATATACGGATTTTATAAAGAAAATTTGGTGCCCATGTTGGAAATGATACGGGATAAATTAAAAGATTATCCTGAAGATTTTTATAATTACAAATGCTTAGACTCACTGCACTGTATTGTAAAACTGTGTGGTTTTCAATACAAAAAATTAGATAAAAGAATGGTGATTATCGAGTCGTCTCGAATCGTTGAATTGCGCTAAGAATTTTTGCACAAAGTTAAAATCTATAGAGAGCAGAAAAGAAATCTGATTTACCTGGATGAAACGTGGTATGATACCCATGATGTTGTGCAGTACGGCTGGGTTGACGACAGCAACAAGTGCATTTTAAATGCACCATGCAACCGTGGAAAACGAATCATTATTCTCCATGCTGGCAGTGAACATGGATTTATACCTAATGCCTTGCTGTTATCTGCCAAAAATATCAAAGAATCATGTGCCGATTATCATGAGGACATGACCTCCGACTTATTCGAAAAGTGGATAGAGCAGCAGTTAATACCAAACATTTCCCCAAATTCAGTGATTATTATGGACAATGCGCCATACCATTCCCGACAGAAAAACAAAATTCCGAATACAGGCACAAAAAAACAAGACATTATTGATTTTATGAAGGATAAGGGAATGGAAATACCACAAAAATCAACCAAAGCCATACTATTGGATCTTATTAAAAGACAAAAATTTGAAAAAGAGTATGTTGTTGACAATCTGCTTCAGCAAAATGGCCATGAAGTATTACGTCTACCTCCCTATTATTGCATTTTTAACCCGATTGAGTTGGTCTGGGCTGCTTTAAAAAAAAGTAAGGCAAAACATAATCAGACCCCTCAATTAAGTGAATCGCTATTGGCCACAATAAGAGATGCAGTATCTCATATTGCTGCCACAGACCTATGGAAGCAGTGTTCTAGGCATATTATTGAAAAAGAAAATGAATATTGTGTTTTGCCTCCTGTAAATCTCGTTGTAATTTCTTTACAAGATGACTCTAGCGACAGCTCAGAAGGCGAGGATGATATATAAATACCTATAATGTAAGTCTTTATATACCTTTTTATATACCTACCTGCTATGTAAATATTTGCCTATGTCAAACGTTGGAATTCTGTAATTTTTCCATTTCTTAACTTTCAGTCAACATAAATTTAACTCCCAATATAAGTATTTTTTATCCCAAATCAAAAAAAATAAGAAGATAGTAAAATCCATTTATTGTGGTATAAAAACATTATTATTATCGTTCTAAATAAATCACCGCACGCCTATGATACGTCATGAAATTACAAAGGACGCGCCGACCAAAGGTTTTTATGCTATTTCAAGTGACTTCAGATATACCATACGTCCTAGAAGTTTTGGCACAAGATTCATTAGCTTTCATGTTAAAAAACACAAAATAATATCAAGTTGCTTTTTGGAAACAAAAGTTTGTTTACTTACTTTACTGTCAGTTGAGATTTATTTATTTTGTGGTAGTCGCTTTGAGATGTCGTATAAATTAAAAATAAGAAAAAGTATCTTCAAGTTGATTGGGCGGGTACCCAAAGCAGAAATCTGTCGAATATTTCAGAATGAAAACATTTCACGCAGAAGCATTTATCGAACAATAGCGGAGTGCGAGCAGGGAATACCATGTCTGAATCTCCCAAAAAGTGGAAAATTTACTGCACAGAGGTTAGAGAGATTGGTGAGAAGAGTAAAAATTCAGGTTGGAATGCCAACAAGGGGACTGGCTCGTCAATAAAGATCTTCTAAGAGTACGATATCCTTGGGATAGAGGAGGAATGGTCTCAAAAAATCCGATAAATATTTTGTCCCAACTTTTACGTTATTTGATTCAGTTTTATGGGTATTGTTTGCACTCACACCATATGGCTAGCTTACATGTTTGCAAATACCTTGTGCTAACACGTCTACGTATCTACGTCACTTTTCTTCAGTTACTACTACTTACTGTGTAGTTTCTTTATTCCGACATTGTACAGTTAGCTACGTGTTCAGTAATTATCTCATAACTGCATAGTGTAGTTGTAGTTTTTGTTGTGCTTTTCCAGTTAGCTTTTATGGGAGAGTGTCCATACCAATTAATCAAAACTGAAACAATGTGTAACGTACTGTTCAACAGCCATGTAATAACGATTAAAGGGAAAACTTGTCGTAACAACGACTACAAAGACAATTACATTTGAAATGTGCAACAGCATAACATTTGAAATAACATATAAAGGAGAGGTGGTAAAATATGTGGAACGTTCTCTAGGTTCTTTATTTCAATAAGTTATGAGTAACTGTGTGATATAGCGATCCATGGGATGTCTGTTCTTGGTTAAAGTTAAGTATTCAGTCCTGGTTGCACAGATATCAAAGTCATAGACAAATACAGATTATCAGTAAACTACCGAGAAAAAAAAGATGGAAGAGGAATGCGGATTGAATGAAATTGGACAACTGCGATGTGGTTGTGTTTTGAAACTTTGAACTGATTCGATAAACTAATTCTGGAAAAAAAGTGCTTGCAAACTTGCTCGATGCACTTTAAGTGACATATATTGTACCCTAAACGATGATGATATTGAAGTTATATCATGGAGTATAAGAGTCTGGTGTCTTGCATGACAATAGCTTAGATCGATTCGATATGAGTACCTTCAAGATCATATTGATATTCCGCGAGCGTACTTAGAACGTCGCCGTCGCCCTCGATATTTTTCTCCATCAGAGCTGTATACAGGGTGGCGCATCGAAAACGAAACAGACGCATTTACTGGCAGCTCAGTTTTTTTTTTGGAAAAA